AATAGGAAAGCTTTAAACATTTACTTATCAGTTTATGTTAACATCAATATGAATGCATCTCACAGAGAATCTCTCTCTAGAACCTTTGATTAAATCAGCTCTTTACAACAAGGAAAAATAACACGCAACATATTTGAATGTCTGGCTGGATTTCGAATCAACAAAGTTTGATTAACTATTATAAATTTAGGAGTCCAAAGGATTTTCATCAAACTTGGGCCATTAATTTTACATTTAGTTGATGCCCAACAACAGACCAAATGGAAACCTGAACAAATTTGGCCTTGCCTCAATTATGAAATTAAATCTCAATTTCATACTTAAATCGATGAACTAAGTTTGGCTAACCTAGCATTCCAACTAACCAAAATAGTGGACTCTAAGCGCAGAAACACAATATTCCTTAACATTCAGATGTGATATATTCAGCTGTAGATTGTAATGACCAAGGAAATGAAAATATAATTCAACTGAAATCTAACCAAGTAGAGTCACCCCTAAAATGCGTATGGTCCCCCAATGCAGATTAACCAAATAAGACCATACCAAACAATAATAGATAGGCATTGACCCATTGCGAATTTACTAAGCATGATCACTCTTAAAATGTGTATGGTTCCCTAATACGGATTTACCAAGTATGATCACACTGCTACATGGTGCAGTTTCATTATCACACATCATACATCAACACATCATGAATCATAATTGTAAGCGCATAGACTACCAATTCCACGTGACAAATGAATATCTAGTCACACCAATGTACAAGTTTTACAAAATAACTCTAATATGATCCCCAACTCATCTCCTCATACTAGCATTCACACATTAACATTACTCTCATCTAGATGCCCATTAATCATGTAAATCTTGGTAAAGTGCTACTTGCATGCAAACAGAGGTGCACATCCCCATGATGGCACGTTGACCAAGGTAGGCCCACTAGGCTTGGGCCTATAGTTATGCTAACTTCAGTACTTAAGAATGATTTTGGACATGTTGATCAAAAGTCCACCCTCATTCAAGGTGATTTCCACTAAAGTTAGCTACCATAATTATTCTCATTCTAAATATCCGCACATCGAATTTCTGATCCAAAGTATCTAAGAGTGTCACATTACTAACACAACAACATACTAAAGTTTCATAACGATCCAACAGTCGAATCTGCCCATATCAAGGGTCAAGGGATAATAATGGAATTTCTTCAAACGGATATCAAAAACAGATTAAGGGCATCGTAATTAGCTTAAGAAGAAAAACTAGGTCATCAACCATGTGCCCCACCTCTCCAGAATTCCAACAAACTCTAAGCATCAACAAATTTCACAAATAAGACAAGGGAAATAATTCTTATACCTAAGTCGACTCCCAAAGGTGCTCGAAAGGCAATGAAAATCACCTGAGAAGTCTTGGAAGGCCATGAATGGCGCACCCACTGCACACCGACGTCTGATGTTTGATGGGCAACTAAAGACTGGGATTTTGAAACTAGGGTTGAGGCGAGTCCAAGCCAAGTGGTAGAGACTAACGTTGTTCAGCGGATTAGCCGAAAAGTACCTATGGCTACTAAAGTGAATTCGCAACCTGGAACCACCGCGTAATGGTGGTCTAACCCATTGAAACTTAGGTCGGTTTTATCTGTGGTAAGGTGAAGGGTTGTTTCCAGGTGGTGGCATTGACTGAAGTCATTGGAATGGCTGAAAAAATGGTAAATTACATTTTACCCCCTCAGGTTTCGATGCAATTACAACCTCTTACAAAATCTTTATAACATTTCAATCTCATACGTTTAGTATTATTTTGTTTTCAATTTCAAGTTCTTTTAGTATTATTTTGAACTAAAGAAAAGTAAAAATAAAAAAAAATAAAAATAAAAAACCAGAAATCGTCTTCCCTACCCATCACCCCCCTTTTCTCCCATCCATCATCACCCACCCCTAAAAATCCCACCCAAGCCCACCCCCTTCTCCCATCCCCCATCACCCCCCCCCCAAAAATCCCCTTCTCAGTCCTCTCCTCACTTACCATTTCTGATAGCTTCTTCCTCCGCTCTTCTCCTTCAATCTCTCACCTCTCTCTCTAGGAGATGAGCTTATCCACAAAGCCTCAAACCATAACCCTAATCTCATGCACTCCTCTCTCTTCTTCTTCCTCTTCCTATCGCCGATCGATTCGTAGATACGCTCGTCGGCAGTCTCTGCTCCCACAGAAAACGCAAGAGCTTGGACGGATGGGGTGGGCTCGAGTGGAATTTTTTGGGGTGGGTGATGGGGGATGAGAGTAGGAGGTGGGCTTGGGTGGGATTTTTGGGGGTGGGTAATGGTGGATGGGAGAAGGGGGTGGGTGATGGGTGGGGAAGACGAAGGGGATTTCTGCTTTTTTTTTTTTTTTTTAAACTTTTCTGTAGTTAATTATTTTAATATTTTAAATATTTTATTAAGTGTTTAACCACGTGGCACAAATGTGGCAACCATGTCATTACAAATGGGGACCCCATACATGCCACGTCATCACTTAACGGTTAACTTAACAGATTTTTTAACGGTTGTATGAAATTGAAAACAAAATAAAACCAAATATATGAGATTGAAATGTTTTAAAGATATTGTATGAGGTTGTAATTGCATCGAAACCTGAGGGGGTAAAATTTACCCCTAAAAAAATATGGGAAAAATTGCCCAAAAATCGGGTCAGTTTGCACGAAACGGGCCATCGGGTATGATGCACGAGTCGACCATTCCAAAAATGGAAAGTCCCCCTTCCCAACAAACTAGGGCCTACTATTTATGGAGGTCCAAATGACCATTTGCCGTTGTCTTTACTTGCTTATTTTTCTCTCGTTACAAATCCATTTCACGAACAATTTTTACCTACTCGTTCATGGGATCAAACTCTATCCAAAAATACTAAGATTGTTTAAAAAAAAGGTCTATGAATTTTTAATGAATGTTTAAATATCAAATTTTGTAACAAACTAACCAAAAACCTAAAATTAACGAAAAATAAGAATAATTTCCAAACAATACAAAATACGAAAAATTGAATGTTAAATTCGGGACTGGATTTCACAGCTGCTGTCAATTTGTATGAGAAAATAAATCGGGTTTTCCTCTCAAGATTAAAGTATTGAACCATTTGTCCTGGCCTTTGAGCTCTCCCAGATTCAATCACTGATTGAAAGTATAAAAAATGTTGGAATAAAGTTGCTGGAGACGTTGATGATTTTCAAATTATGAAGATTTAAAAACTGAACTTCGTAATTATAAAATTTATACAATAATGATACATTATTCGTAAAGAGATGGATCATTCTCCTCGGAGGCATTAATTTTCAATACACAAATATAATTGTAGAATATTGTTGGAATAAGTACTCGAGAAGAGGTCATTCGATATGGACAGCTGAACGTTTATGTTCATAACATCCTACTGGCTATAGCTAAGGCTGCTGCTGGTGCTGCTTCTTCTTCTATTATTGGCTGTTTTTGTTTTTGTAGTGAAACTTTCTATTGGCTAGTTATATGAAACATGTATCTGCCGGCTAGCGATGTATAAGTTATAACCGTCGTTATTCTCTTGGGGCCGGCCGAGTCAATCTGGAATCTGAATACATACATGTGTTTATATATAAATATATATAAAGAGGGAGTCATCTCTTTCGTCATTAATTTTAAACGTATATATAATGATTTATATAGTCTTTTTAATTTAGAGCATATGATATGCATGTATAATATATTAATACACAGCTGAGTATATAAAACATCGTCCGCAGCTGGCACTCTGGCTGTAGAAATCCTGAATTATACAGCAGCACTCTATCACACTTTAGTCCTTGACTCTATACATACATACATACATACATACATACATACATACAGGAAGTCTTTAAGGGAAGGGATCCTCATTTTTTTTATAAAAATAGGAATTAGTTGTGGGGTCCACACCACATCGAACTTTAACAAACCGAACCGTCTATTTTTCAAGTTGTACCTCATAGATCATCCTTGCAAATATTAGCCAAATCTGAAATATTTAAGATATCTAATTGTGTTCAAAGAAATGAACGAATACTTTGTTATATAAGAAATAATGAAATTTGATCTTGATAATTAAATAGGCAAATGGTTTCAGATTTAATTGAATTTTGCAAGGATAATCTATGAATCGAGACTAACAAAATAGAAGGTTCGGATCATTGAAATTCAATGTGGAGTGGGCCCCACATCTAGTCCCCAGTTTTTCAAAAAATGGGAATCCCCTTGCATAAAGGCCTTGTGTGTGTATATATAGGAAATTGTTATTAGCACTTCAAAAATCTCATTCTACACTCCAAACTTTCTATATTAGGAAAGAAAAATACACTTGTGAGGAGTGTAGAATGAGATTTTTAGAGTGCCAATAACACTTCCCTATATATATGATTACACATGTGAAATACATTGTAGATATGGTAGCTATTTTCTATTCATGAAGATAGAACGCGGATTGAATTAAGGAATTGGATCCACTCCGGACCTTAGTGTCCAAATCCTAGGGATCAAATCTTCTGGGCCGCTGATTGGTGTTTAAAAGAAATTAGAGCCGTTGCTTTTGTGTGGTGGGCCAGAAAAATAAGTTAATGGAGACCGTTGGATTCAATTTGTGCGGTCCAAATGAATTGATTCCTAGGCTCTGGACACTAAGGTCCGGAGCGGATCCAATTCCTTGAATTCATGCCAGTCATACATCTTAGTTAGGTGAAGGACTTCTTGGACGAAGAACACAATTCATACATGATGTTGCGATTAATTTAGAATACTGCTATTTTAGCATCTCTATTTTATGTAAGTCATTCTTCTAAATTGAGCATATTTTAATAAAACATATATATTTACGTACCTGCCGGCTAGAACATACGTGTTATTCAATTAATTAATTAATAGCTAGGTAGATATCTTAATTATATATTTGATTGAGAGTTTCATGTATAGAGACATGTTAGATAATAGAAAGGGCATCTTTTGGTGAGAAACGATTCTGGCTTTAGCTACCTTGTCCTTTACCAAGTTATATACGCATAAATAACCCTAGTTGAAAGCAAACGCATCATCATCAGTTGAGGGAGAAAGCAGCTGAGCTAGCTTAGCTATATATTACATAAGATAGAAAAGAAGAGGGAGAAATTAAACAGAGATCGAGAGCATCGAATCGATCGATCATTCATCAAATTAATTAGTCAGGGTCTAGGGATGGCGATTGGGAAAGTTTGGCATGAGTTAGAAGTGGAGGTGCCTGCGAGTGAAGCATGGGAGCTCTTCAGCACGCTTGCACTGGCAAGATTCGTGGAACAACAACTTCCAGATATGATTGAAAAAGCTGAAGCCATACATGGTGATGGAGGGGTTGGGACTATTGTCCATGTCAAATTTGCATCAGGTATATACTTAATTAAATTAATTAAACGCATGCTGCATGCGCGCTAATCTTCTTGCTGATGATTAATTTGCTAGCTACCTTATAAAGAATCTCATTTACTTGTCTTTAATTACGAATTCTCAAATATTAACTGTAAACAGCAGGATTTTGGATTGAGAAATGGTTTACTGAGGCCCTCCCGCCTGCATGCGCCTCGTATTTTTATTTTAGGCTAATTAATAATTTTCCTTGTTTACTACGTATATAATATAATTAATTTATTAAACGGAGCTTTCCCCCTTCATGATTTTCAACATTTAGTACATCAAGTTTTTTTCATCCCAGAGTCATACCTAAAGTGTTAATTTTGGGACAATATCATACATCCGTTAGTCAAACTGTTAGTTCTCCCCGTTAAGTGATGATGTGGCGCCATGTGGACAATGATGGGTGCCACGTGTCATTAAAAAAATTAAAAAAATTAATTAAATAAAAGTTAAAAAAAAAAATCATCCCTCCCCCCTAACCCAGAAGAAGGAGGAAGAAGAAGAAAGAAGGAGAAGAAGAAGAAAAAAAAAACAAAAACAAAAACAAAACCGAATCTGCAACCCAGAAGAAGAAGAAGGAGGAAGAGGAAGAAGAAGAAGAAAAAAAAAAAAAAAAAAACAAAAAAAAAAATAAATCTGCATCCCAAAAGAAGAAGAAGGGGGAAGAGGAAGAATAAGAAGAAGAGAAAAAAAAACAAAAAAAAAATAAATCTGCATCCAAGAAGAAGAAGAATAAGAAGAATAAGACAAAAACAAACCGAATCTGCAACCCAGAAGAAGGAGGAGGAGGAGGAGGAGGAGGAAGAAGAAGAAAAAAAAAAACCAGCAGCCCAAAACCAGTTTCTTCTTCTTAATAAATCTGCATCCCAGAAGAAGAATAAGAAAAAAAAAAAACAGCAGCCCAAACCCAGTTTCTTCTTCTTAATAAATCTGCATCCCAGAAGAAGAAGAAGAAGAAAACAAAAACAAACCGAATATGCAACCCAGGAGGAGGAGGAGGAGGAGGAGGAGGAAGAAGAAGAAAAAAAAAAAACAGCCCAAACCCGTTTCTTCTTCTTCTTCTTCTTCTTCTAGGTTGCAGATTTGGTTTTTTGCTGTTTTTTTTTTTCCTTCTTCTTCTCCTTCTTCCTCGTTCTTCTTCTCCTTCTTCCCCCTTCTTCCTCTAGGTTGGGGGGGGGGGTGGTTTTTTTTTTTTTTTTTTTTTTTTTTTAAACTTTTATTTAATTAATTATTTTAATATTTTTTAAGTCATCACTTAACGGGAGAACTAACAATTTGACTAATAGATGTATGAGACTGTCCCAAAATTAACACTTTAGTTATGACTCTGGGATAAAAAAAAAACTTGATGAACTAAATGTTGAAAACCACGAAACATGAGGGTAGTAAACAGAGTTTAACCCTATAATTTATGTTAATTGATTATATATATATAGGTGCTGAACACAAGGAAAAGTTCACAAAGATTGACAATGAGACGCGAGTGAAAGAAGCGGAGGTGATTGAAGGTGGATTTCTGGATTTTGGACTTAGCTTATACCGGGTTCGGTTTGAAATCATAGAGAAATTAGGAGTTGCAGGTGATTCGGAACCCTCCTGCTGCTGCATCATCAAAACCACAGTTGAATATGATGTCAAGGAAGAGACGTCTGATGCTTCCAACGCCTCCTCACTTGTCTCTATCGAGCCATTCGTTACCATTGCAGAGGCAGCAAAGATCCACCTCATGAAAAACAATTTGTACTCAATTAAACAGTTCCGTGAATATCATCAGTTGATGCAGTGTCAAATTAATTTGGATCGATCTGTCCTAAGTCCTACCTCAAAATATTATCTACTTTTAATAAGTGTTTCAAGTTGGATGAACTGCTCATCACTGAAGATCTTGTTTGTTTCTTCAGATTCTGAAATTTTAAGAAGCAAATTTAGCAACTTGGAATTAATTTTGTTAATGGCTTATTGGAAATGGTTTTCTCAGGGCAGGTATGACGCATGAAGCTGACTTTCTTTTTCAGGTTAATAAAGCTTCTTTATCCGATGCTCCACCAAATGTTTACTAAATTAGTCCAACTTAATCCCCATAATTAGTTCAATCCGAGATAGTCCGATGTAACAAACACACTCTTCTTATATTTGATAACACATCTTGGCTCCACTTAGCTCTGGTTTGATACTGAGGTGATTTTAAAAAATGTGAAAATAAAAGAAAAGTTAGAAGAGTTTTTTATGTTTGGTAAACATCCAAAACCAACTTTTTTTCAAAATTTAGGATGAAAAAAAGGCTAAAAACCTGAAGCTGCAAAAAGCATCTTCAAAAAACCAGCTAAACACAAATAAACAATAAATTCATTAATGAATTTTTCAATTTACCAACATTGCCCTCTTTTCTCTTGGCATCCTCATGCTTTCACTCTCGCACACCCTCTCGCAAAACCCTTGCAGAACCAGACCTGAAACTTCAATCCCAGCTCAGAACCAGACCTGAAACTTCAAACCGCAAAAGCCCTTCCTCTCCTCAGACCTCAGTCTTCTCCATCGCTCTTCCAAAAGCTCGCAGCTTGATTTGGCCGTCAATGGCGGCCTCCCATACCTCCAACGGGACGACCTTAAGGCATGCTTTCGGAATGTCCTTTCCTTCTTCATCCTCATCATGATCGGCGTTCTCGCATTTTCAATCCGGCTCTGATAGGATTTTTACCACCTGCGCAAAAGGGTTAAAAACACCTAAAATACTTGCAAGAGAAACAAGATTGTCGTAGTATAGTTGGCTCAAGCAAGATCGTGAAGCTGTGGCTATTTTTGCTTTGGTCTTCACTTTCTATCTATATATAAGGTTAGGTTTGGTAAAAGACAACTTTATTTTATTCTGTTAGGTGCCTGGTTGTTTCAAAGAATGATCTGATTCTGATGATCTGATTATGTTGACTGTTGAGTAGGATCACCTTATGAATTTATTTCTGATGGATCTTCCTTAGTATATACTATATATTACAGGGATTATGTTTAATGTGCTTCAATATCTTCTGATTACGTTATGCAATATGCAGACACTGAATACAGGATCCCTCTTTTATGCAACTCTTAATGCCATAGCATACTTTTACATGGTAAGTATATGTTCTAATGTTGTTTGTGCTTCTGTAACCTTACATTTTCTGTCGAATTTATGTTTACTTGCATTTGTTTCATTGCTTCAGGTTTGCTCTTGGGGAGGCTACACATTTATTATTAACCTGATTCCAATGCATGTGCTTCTCTGCATTGTAACTGGTCGCTACTCATCTCGTTTATACATTGCATACGCTCCTGTAAGTATCCTCAGTACTGATGATGCTATTTTTTTATTGAAAGTAAGTGGAACATGCATTTGGCGTTAAAATTGAAGAATTCATTAACATTCTCGCGCTTTGTTAGTTTGTAGCTAGAAATACTAGATGAAAAAGAATGGCGACTATAAAATTGATACATTTAAATGACTCTTGGTTCCTATTGAAATCGTAGCTTTTCTAATGTAGGTGGTCTTGGGAACATTGTTAGACGCTTTGGTGCCGGTAGTTGGATTCAATGCAGTCATGACATCAGAACATTTTGCATCCTTCTTGGTGAGCATTTCCCAACTTTCTTTTCTCATTGACTTTTTATTTTCTGATACTAGAGCTTGTCTTAGCTTTCGGTTCTTTTCAAAACACTTATAAAAGACGTCTTCATGCTGAGTTAATAAGGTTCTGAAGATGCTAGTTCACGTGTTCGTAAGAGTGTTCTTTTTTTTGGACTGAGCCACTTATAAACAGTGGCGAAGCCAGGAATTCTCGGGAGGAGGGGCGAACTTATATGCGTGCAAGGTTAAAGAAAAATGGCAACAACCAAATCTTTTTATATATGAATGTCTTATATAATTAATCAATACAAATAAATTACAGTTGTTGTCGGCGAAGTTTCATGTCATGAAAACGTCGCATAATAGGATCATTATCAGTAAAAGCAAATACATCTCTCTCAATGTAAACAACCATGTTATCACTCAACCATTGATCTCCCATTTTATTACGCAATGATGTTTTCACAATCTGTATAGCAGAAAAAACTCTCTTCACCGAAGCGGTTGCAACCGGTAACACTAAAGTTAATGTAAGAAACTTATACATTAACATGTAGCTTTCACACCTCCTGATTCATTTTGTGAGATTTAGGTTAACAAAGTTCATTTTAGAGGTAGTACCTACGAATTGCTTCGCGATAATTAGAGAAGGATTTAATTAAGCATTGTTTCTTATAGTATCGTTTCATTACGTAACTATATAACAAAAGAAAAAAATATATCTTAGACTCTTAATCCTAGAGTAGACTATAGGGTAATATCTAATCAAATCACGAATTAATTAATCGATACTAACAATCATATGAATAATCAAGAATTCAATTTTTATTCTAAACCACAATTAAAAATTGAGTAAGTTGATTAAGGTTTATAGCGGTTACTGCAATCAATTTTTATTACTAGACCATGTGTGATTCAAGTTCCTATAATATATATAATGTATGAATCCTATTTTATGTACTTCAAAAAAAAAATCAATAATCATAGTATTTATACGAATAATCTATAATCGATAACCATAAATTTAAAAAAAAAGAAAATTAAAAATTAACCTCACTTGGAGCGGCTGGAGTGGCGTCTGGAGCTTGGTGGGCAACGGAACAGGACTTTCTTGTGTTCAATCCGGGGATTTGAGTCAATTTTGAAAATTGAAATCTGGGAATAAAGGTGGGGGGATGGGATTTGTAATTTATGGGCAAGACTGGGGGTAATAATTGAAACGGGTGGGAGGATTGGGATGGGTACCAGTGGCTCTTTAAAAAAAAATTTATTTGATTAATGCAAAACGACATCGTTTACCAAACCAAAATTAAAAATTAAAAAAAGAACCTGCAAGCTCACAGTTCCCAGATTCGAACCATGAACCACCGTGGTTCCCAGATTCCGGCTGAACCAAAGGGGTTCAAGCCTCACTCCTGCCTTTGTTTTCCGGCTAACGGAGGGGCGGCCGCCCCCCTTCGCTCCTATGTAGCTTCGCCATTGCTTATAAAGTTATAAGAGTTTGGTTTTCATTAAGCAGTTTTAAAGTATATGGTTGCTCTTTAATGGACTTAGATAATTCTTATAGAAGGTTAGCAAATATGGAGAAGCTTTGCAGTTAGTAGAACTTAAAGAAGGGGATTGCCTGAATTTGGAACTAATTTAATTAGAAGTCTGTTTTCTTCGTTTTTTCCAGATGGTTTGTATGTGCAGTTCATAGCCTCAATCTTTCTTGCTATGTTTTATCGTTGCTATATTTTCTTCTGCAGGTTTTTATTATTATACATGTGGTCGCTTTCGTATGCCATACCAAAGAGATTCTCTCTCCAAAAATGTTCAAAGTGACTGACCCAGAGACTTTTGTGAGGAGAGCGATAGGATGATGATGATGAAGAATACCAAAATTATCAAGTTCAAGGATCACATGAGATAGAAGCATTAAGAAATAGAATAGCAGCAAGTTTGATGAATGCATCTAATTAGACTACTTTCAAGTACATTAACAATATTGTACTAATGAATCATAGCGATTCAGTCTAAAATATTTCAATTGAAGTAGTTTGTCATACTAATTAATATTTAAGATAAAGTTTATAAATATTTTTTTTAAATAAAGTATATTTAGTAATTCACCTTTATTTGTTAAGAAAATTAAATTAATGGCACATCTAGTATTATACCATTTTTGGTCATTTCATACAGTCACAACTGTTTTACATAAAAGTTTACCAAACATTATGATACTGCTTTTTTTTCCAAAAGCACTTTTACAAAAAAGTTTAAAAACACTCTGCTGCTTTATTTCACAGCTGCTTATTCTCACAGCACAACAAAATCAGTTTCTTTTCAAATCACAGCATTACCAAACTACTTTCCCAATATACTTTTTCGGCGTATCTTTGTCACTAATATTTCGACATGTGATTTCCGCCATTTGTGCAATAAACTAAAATTACAGTACCAAAAAAAATAAAATATTAATTTGGGAACATCAAATGAACTAATGTGAAGGGACGAAGAAGACTAAAGGAAAGTAGGAATTGGATATGTTCCAAACCTTAGTGTTTAGAGCCTAAGAATCAACCCATCTGAGTCATTGATTGATGTGTAAAAGAAATCAAAGTTGTTGGTTTGTATGTGGTGGACCAGCAAAATAAGTTACTAGTGTTGAATATTTTAAAAATATATATATAATATATATATATATATGGGGATGTTTAACGGGAAGTTGGGTCATTGACCCAACAATTATATCTTTTCAAATTAGCATTGTAACCTTTTGCTAATATCCAACGGTTGCTGCATGTTTTACAACATATATGATCTTTGGGTAATTGGTGTTTGTATTAGATATGTCCATTGGACATAATGATGCAATGTGTTGTATCCCATGGTGAAAAGACATACTCAAATCAAAGGATGTGTCTAAAGGGTGTAATTCTCTCTATATATAGTGGTAACATTAGTAGAAAAGAATCATTTCAGAAATTTGTTGTCTACATAATTTCTTTGCTCTCTTTTCTCTCTTCATCACATTCATACAATTTCTTTCTAGTTATTTCTAAGGGAATATAATTCGGTTTTGCTAATCGAATATTTCATACTTTGTTGTATCCTGGAAGTGATTTGCCAAGAACCCTTTAGCAAACTCATTCGAGTGGGGGCAAATAACACTTTAAGGAAACGATTCAAGTCGTACCTCAAAATCATTATTCGGATTATTCTCCATATTTCTATATTTAATCCAACAATCTTAAAGTGTTATTTTCGTTATGGATAACAAATCTGATAACATGGCTTTAAAGATTATCAATCAAGATGTCTACAAGTTAGACAAATTTGATGGATCAAATTTCACCTGATGGAAGGACAAGATGCGTTTCATGCTTACTGTTCTAAATGTCATATATGTGTTGGACCCGAAATTGGAGCCTATTCGTGAACCAAGTGACAAAGACTCGGACAATATAGTTGCCGATCGAAAGAAGCGTGAAGAAGATGAATTGGTATGTCGAGGACACATCTTGGGCACATTATCTGATCGTTTATATGACCTGTATGCACACATTCAATCTCCAAAGGAAATTTGGGAAGCACTTGAACACAAGTACACAACGGAAAAAAGAGGTACCGATAAATTTTTAATGTTCAAATATTATGAATTCACTATGTTTGATAACAAACCCATCCTAGACCAAGTTCATGAATTATTGGTCTTGGTCTCAAAGCTTCGTGAACTTAAAATAGTTATTCCGGATCCTATGATAGTTGGGGCTATTATGGCAAAATTACCCCAAACATGGAATAACTATAGAAAGAAACTTCTACACATGGTGGAAGATATTAGTTTAGAGAATTTGCAAAAGGGTATTCAAATTGAAGAGGAAACTCGAAATCGTGATAAGAATTTTGCAAATCAAGATTTCTCTAAAGTTCACATTGTCGAAGGAAACAAATATAAAAAGAACTTCAAAGTCAAAATTGACAAAGGGAAGTTTAAGAAGACCAATTCCAACAACAATCAAAAGAATGCAAATGGTGTATGCTACCATTGTGGAAAGAAAGGCCATTACATTCGTGATTGTAGACACAGAAAAGCAAGTGAGGAATATGCCAATAAGACCAATAGCGCAAATATGGTGGAAAACTCTGGAATTGATAACATTGTTGCAATGGTATCAATGATGCATATTGGCATGATTACCGAACTGAATATGGCAGCGGTAATAAAATCCTCCGATTGGTGGCTCGACTCAGGGGCTACTATACATGTGTGCAATGACAAGGCACAATTCAAGACATATGAAGCATCAACGGACAATCAAGAAGTTTTAATGGGGAATCATAATTCCGCCAAAGTTCTAGGAAAAGGAACCGTTGAACTTCAATTTACTTCTGGAAAGAAATTGACGTTGCTTAATGTACTGCATGTTCCAGAAATTAGAAAGAATCTTGTGTCTGCAAATTTATTATGTAAGAACGGTATAAAGACTGTTCTAGAGTCCGACAAGTTAATAATGTCGAAAAATGGGATGTTTGTTGGGAAGGGATATTCTTGTGATGGGATGTTCAAACTAAGTATCAATAATAAAGTGAATTCTTCTGTTTATATAGTTGAATCTTCCTCTCATTTATGGCATTTACGTTTAGCACATATAAATTTTAGATCTTTAAAATACATGCGCACACTTGGTTTTATTGCTTGCAATGATGATTATAATGATAAATGTGAAACATGTATTCAAGCGAAAATGACTAAGAAACCTTTTCCAACTACCGAAAGAAATACAAATTTATTAGACTTAATACATTCTGACATATGTGAATTTAATGGTGTTTTAACAAGAGGAGGAAAAAGATATTTTATCACATTTATAGATGATTGTTCTAAATTTACTTATGTTTATTTATTGTCTAATAAAGATGAAGCTTTTGAGTGCTTTAAGCGCTATAAGGCTGAAGTTGAAAACCAAAAGGGAAGGAAAATTAAATGCCTTCGTAGTGATAGAGGTGGTGAATATTTTTCACATGAATTTGATATTTTTTGTGAAGAGCATGGTGTTGTACATCAAAGAACTGCACCCTATACACCACAACAAAATGGTTTGGCAGAAAGAAAAAATAGAACACTCACTGAAATGATTAATTCTGTGATGATTAATGCTAATACTCCAAAATATTTATGGGGTGAAGCATTGTTTACTGCATGCCATATACACAATAGAATTACATCTATGAAGACACATGTGTCACCATATGAAATTTGGAAAGGAAGAAAACCAAATTTGTCATATTTGAAAGTATGGGGTTGTATAGCTTTTTATAAGGCACTCGATCCTAAGAGATCCAAGTTGGGTCCAAGAGGAATTAAAAGCATATTTGTAGGATATGCAGAAAATTCAAAGGCATATAGGTTGCTTAATTTAGACTCGAACATAATAGTTGAGTCTAGAGATGTCGAATTTATAGAAAATAAATTCTATAATGACTACTCAGTGTCTGGAAAAGAGAATGATCAAACACATCTCTAATCCGTCTACTAGTCAATCTCAAGGTGAGAAAAGAAAACAGTCTGAAACTGTTAATGAACCAAGGAAAAGCCAAAAGGTAAGAAAAGAAAAGACTCTAGGCTCTGATTTTATTTCATCTCAATCTATTGTATTTTTAGTCGAAGGAAATAGAACAAAGGTTCTTAAGAAAATACCCATATTGTTGAATGTTGAGGATGATCCTAAAAGTCTAAGCGAAGCATTGACTTCAAGAGATGCAGCCTTTTGGAAAGAGGCTATAGATGATGAATTTGAATCATTAATATCTAATCAGACATGGGTTTTAGTAGACTTGCCCCAAGGATCAAAAGCAATAGGTTGTAAGTGGGTATTTAGAAGAAAATACAATACAAACGGGTCTATTCAGACATTTAAAGCCAGGCTAGTTGCCAAAGGTTTTAAGCAGAAAAAAGGAGTAGACTATTTCGATACATATGCACCAGTAGCTAGGCTCACATCAATTAGAATATTGTTTGCATTGGCATCTTTATATAATTTGCATGTGCATCAAATGGATGTGAAAACAGCATTTTTAAATGGTGATTTAGATGAAGAAGTCTATATGGAACAACCAGAAGGGTTTGTTCTCCCTGGGAATGAAAAGAAGGTTTGTAAATTAGTAAAGTCATTATATGGATTGAAGCAAGCACCAAAACAATGGCATGAAAAGTTTGATTTTGTCATTTTATCATATGGATTTAGACATAACAGTGCTGATAAATGCATATACTCTAAATTCACAAATGATTATGGTGTTGTTATATGTTTATATGTCGACGACTTGCTAATTTTTGGTACAAACATGAAAGGTGTATATGAAACTAAAGAGTATCTAAATTCAAAATTCAAGATGAAGGATTTGAATGAAGTAGATACTATATTGGGAATTAAAGTAAAGAAGCATAGTGGGGGTTACGCTTTGTGTCAATCACATTATATAGAAAAATTGCTTCTTAAGTTTAAGCATCTACAAATAAAAGACGCAAATACCCCTTATGACCATAGTGAAACTTTGCTTAATAATTCTGGTAGGTCTGTTGCACAGCTTGAGTATGCTAGTGTAATCGGAAGTTTAATGTATGCCATGCATTGTACCAGGCCAGATATCGCATTTGCAGTAAGCAAACTTTCTAGATACACTAGTCATCCAGGTACTGCTCATTGGAAAGCAATAAATAGAATTTTTGGTTATCTTAAAATAACTATTAACCTGAGTTTAACTTACTCTGAGTTTCCAGCAGTACTTGAAGGATATTCATATGCAAGTTGGATAACAAGTGCTAATGATAATAAGTCTACATCAGGGTGGATTTTTACAATTGCCGGAGGAGCAATTTCTTGGGCTTCGAAGAAGCAAACATGTATAGCACATTCAACTATGGAATCTGAATTTATAGCATTAGCAGCAGCAGGTAAAGAAGCGGAATGGATTAGAAATTTGTTATTGGAAATAGAGTTGTGGCCACAACCAATGCCATCCATTTCTTTA